TGCCCAAACTTGTCTCTATCCAAAATATGTTTCCCCATTATGATCTCTTGAAATTTTCATAAAGAGTAATTTTAAAAAATGCAAATAAATAAAATTTATTTTTATCCTGCCCCTCTGTGACACAATTGGGGCAGCTTACAGTATTAAAAACCAAGATAAAATACATACAACCCAATTCAAACAAAACTCAATTTCGTTGTAAAGCTTAGCCAGCTCACAACCTTGAGTTTTCTTTGGTATCTATCTTGGCATCTATTTATAAATCAAACCAAAATTGAATTTCCTCAAGATGGGAGCCAGAACCCTGCAAACAACACTTTCTCCTTATGGGGCAGGGGATCCTAGAATTTTAAATTAACTACAAAAGGCTAGTTCTCCCCCTGCCCCATGGAAAGAGTCTTATTCTTCTGCTCAGCTTGCAAAAAACAAACAGGGCATGAAGCTTTTGCAAAGGTCAGCCTCATCTGCAAGCCTCTGCTTCCCAACCCAAAGTGTCCGGAGTCATGCCAATAAAAGACAATGCACGGCTTCATATGTGTAGCAAAGGTAGCCATAATGCTGGGTGCACAAATGAAAAATCCGAACTGTTGGCTCATATAGCAAAGTACAAAGTCAGGGTGTTAACCAAGCGACTGAAGGCCAAATCCAGGGAAAGGTACATGCTTAGAAGCTGGAGGAAATTGGGGTGGTAATGCAAAGGAAGTCCTGTCCAACTGACCCAAACCCAAACTCCATCAGAATCAACACAGAACCTACATCTTCTTTGAATGTCTCCAGGTGCCCTTGCAAAAGTCACTGTGGTATAATGGTTTGAGTATTGGACTATGACTCCGGAGACCAGGGTTCGAATCCCCCGTTCAGCCGTGCAAACTCACTGGGTGACCTTGGGCAAGGCATACTCTCTCAGCTACAAATCTTGCCAAGAAAACAAATAAATCTTGCCAATAAAACCCTGTGATAGGATCGCCTTAGAGTCCCCATGAGTTGGAAACAACCTCAAGACACACAGCAAGAACAACAAGGGACCCTTCACACTACCCAACTGCTGACCTTTGGTTCCCCACTCAGTCATTAAAGCCACTGGGTGATCTTTGGCAAGTCACATACTCTCAGCCTCAAGGGAAGGCAATGGCAAACCTCTTCTGTACAAATCTTGCCAAGAAAACCCATGATAGGTTCACCATAGGATCACCATAAGTCAGAAATAACTTGAAGGCACACAACAACAACAACAACAACAACAACAACAACAACAACAACCTTCCACTTGAACTGCCACCGTTGCATCCTATGGGATCCTGGGATTTGTACTTTGGGGATTTTTGAGCCTTCTTGTCTTGAACCCCAATTGGATGTGATTATGGATTCGTATTTCATATAAAAATGCAGACCCTGACTTAAAAAATCTATATGTATATAATAAATGATGACATATTTACTGGCCCCAACAGGCATGAGTTGTCATCTCATGTAATAAATATCCTGGTGGGACTTCTTTTTACTCATTTATAGAGCTGGGAAAAATTTCTCTTTTGGATTACAATTTCCAGTGACCCTTACCAGGGAATCTGGGACTTTCAACTGAAAAATGCAACTTTTCCAAGCTTGGCAAATTTGTTTAGGGTTCCATCCTTTTGGAGATCTTCAAAGCAGCAAAGAATGTGAAGGGGAAATGGGTAAAATTAAACAGTACAGACAGAAAATAAATGGACTACTCAGAGTTTGAGTTATTCTCATATCACACACACTTTACAGTACTCCCAGGCTGGGTCATGATAAATCAGATCCATTTTCCATTGCTCCACAACATTGGAACTGATCCAGTTCCAGCATGATGTTGAATCATTCCCTAAATTTTTCTTGGCTTGAACTGAAACCTAACTGGAAGTAACTTAACATCTTGGCTGAAGCAAGAGCAGATCTGTACTCTTTCTGTCTGTCCAGAACATTTGTTGTTTGTTATGTGCCTTTAAGTCAACTCGGATTTATGACAAACCTCTCCTAGGAGTTTCTTGGCCATATTTATTCAGAGGAACGTTACCGTTGCCTTCCTCTGAGGCAGAGAGAATGTGACTTGCTCAAAGTGGATTTCCAAAGCTTAGAGGAGATTTGAACTCTGGTCTCCCAGAGTCCTAACCCAAAGCTCTTACCCTTTCCTACTATATTTTTTCATTCTGATTCCTCCCTCTCCCAGCCTATTTGAAAGTACAAATAACAGAGTGAACTTGTGACTGCTTTTGTTCTTGTACAGATCACAAAATGTGGAGGTAGACATGTTTAACATAGGGCATGCAACAAAACTGTCCCGATGTTGGTATTATCAGAATATGCATTTTGAAGTTCCTGAAGATCATGGAATAACCAGCCATTTGGAAGCTGGAGCGAAGAGCTATTTGTAGCACAGAATCCATGGGAATAATATCTTTCTCCTGAGTTTTCATCAGAACATATGGCATGTTCCTTAATCTAGATCTCTGGCTGCCACATTATTCTTGTATCCATTCTTCCTTGTTCTTCCTTGTAACCATTCATTTTAGGAATGTGGAAGTTAGTTAGGAATGCCACATTACACATTACACCAGCATGATGGAGTGGTTTGAGCACAGGACCAGGGTTCAAATCCTGCTCACGCATGGAAACCCTCTGGGTGACTTTGGGCAACTCACACTCTCTCAGCTTCAGAGGAAGGCAAGGGCAACACACACACACACACCTGAACAAATCTTGACAAGAAAACCCTGTGATAGGTTTAGGGACACCATAAGTCAGAAATGACTTGAAGGCACACAACAACAAAAACGACAATGTGACATGTCCCACTATTACACTCAACAATGAAAAAGTTTGTGCACATGGTTGCTCTATTAAAAACTCGCAAAGCGCCGGAGGGGCAACCATACGCCAGGTGCCCCAACCCCTTCCCAAGGACGTCATCACGGCGTGTGCCGCTACACACGGCACGCGCCGTAAAGACGTCATCACAGCGCAGCGTTTTTACATGCTGCTACAGAAGAGACACAAAAGAGCCACGTGGCGGCTCTTCAGGTGCCCTTTTTGCTGCTTGTGAAAGGAACGGTGTTTTGGTGCTCCTTTCCCCGGCGGTAAAGGGAGGATTGGGGCCGATACGTCTGGCAGCCTCGGCCTCGATCCTCTATTTTCCGGGGCGGCCCAGGGCCGCCTGTCTGCATCCCCCTTAAGTAAGCTGACAGGTTTAAACAGCCTTAATAGCTAAAGAACTCCTGGCTGATTGGGGAGATCAGATCAAACAGAAGCATAGTACTGTCAAATGGAGCAGCCAAAGCTTGGACAAAATAATGTCTCATGCTATAACTCCCAGAATCCCACTACCCAGCAAACCTAGAGCATATGGTCAGACGTATGGTGTTGTGAACAGGATCAGAGTTTTGGAAAAGTTCTTGTTTGGACAACAAGCTTGGGTGTTGTCTACAAATCCCAGAATCCCATAGCACGGAGCCATGTCAGTTAAAGCAGTGTCAAATTGTGTTATTTCTGCAATGCAGATTAGGCCTAAGGTTGCCAAGACAGGACTATCACCAGCCCTGAGATTTCATCCCCTGGGATGGCCAGCCCTTGGCATTGCTGCAAAGGCAACCTCTGAGGGTGGTATTAAACATGATACATTAAACATCAACCACAGCGGCACAGATTATGATCCGCTGGGGTTTGGTTATAAGACACACACACCATAGATACCAAAATCCATGGATGCTCAGGTCTCATTAAATATAATTAAATTAAATATAAAATAGTACCCCTTATATAAAATGACAAAATCAAGATTTGCTTTTTGGAATTTATATATATATATATATATATATATATATATATATATATATATATGGAATATTTTCTGCATAAAGCCACCAAGTTTTGTTGTGTGTCCTCAAGTCATTTCTGATTTTATGGCTGCCCTAAGGGAAACCCTATCTATCACTCTAAGGCAGGGGTAGGCAACCTATGGCCCGGGGGCCGGATGCAGCCTCCCAAGGCCTTTGGACCGGCCCCAGGCTGGTCCTGCTGCTGCCGCCGACCCCCGCCAACTCCCGCCGTTGCCGCCCGCCATGATGATATTGATTATAGTTGTTGTTACTTGTTCTTGGGATTTTCTTGGCAAAATCTCCACAGGA